TAAATTTATTTCCATGAATATAGGTATATTCATCTCATCAGGCCGACTTTATTTCCTTTTTTTTTTCTATGTACCTGTTTATCCTCATTTTCACCCTTAATCCCTTCCATGATATTTCTTATCTTTGTTCTTTAATCTTCTTGAAGAAAAGATTTATAGTGACCGAGAAGAGATTGGAGAGATGACTAATAAGGTTACGATAGAGAGAGCTTGGGAGAAACGAAAAAAACTTTAAGTAGAATTGAAACTACAAACAACTGTTGTTTACAATTACAAGAAAGACGGCTGAAATCTTTGGGACACATAATGAAAAAAAGAAAGCGAGAAAAATTTAACATTCACTTGACCCATCGAGAGGAAGCAGCGATGTACGGTGAGTAGACTACTTGACAAATTTAAACAAATCGATAGAGGAACATATAACACAAAGAGGAATCGTAAACAAGTAGTTATTACTGAGTGCAACGAAACGTAAGATATGGAGGACCATAACCGCCTACGCCTTGAATAGAATTGACAGACAAAACATATAGATAGATAGATACATAGATAGATATATATATATATATATAATAACTGGCAGACATGGACCCTTCAGAGGTAATAACATAATTATTTTATACAGTGTAAATTTAATAATGCTTGGATGTTTTCAACTGAACTCAAACTATTAGTTAAAGTTAATATATAGGACATGAGGAACAAAGAGAGTAAAAAATAGTTGATTTGAAAGACCAACAATGCCAAATATTTATTCACTTGGCAGAAGTGTTTTTGAGAAAATATAAAGTTGGATGTTCAAAACCTGCCAAGAATTGCGCCTCCTTTAATCTTTCTCGGCTAATAAAATTAATGGTCTAAATAGAACCATTGTTTCCGTAAAAAGAGATATATGTAAAGATGGAAGTCAACAAAACATTCGAGTCATTTGAATACTAATCTTTAGATCAAACTCTATTGGGTACAGAATGCGAGACTATTTATTGAAAACACTGCCATGTTTTATACAGGGTGCGGCAGAAATACTCCCCAGAAATATCTCCCACATAATAGTAAGACATTAGTGGCAATGGTGTCTTCATTTAGCTTTTGGCATTGTGAGAGGTATTTCTGCAGCAGCCTGAATTTTAAAAGTCAACGAAAAGAACTCTTAGGCCAGACTTTCTTTTTCTAAGTGCCGTGTCCCTTCCGAATGTTGGTGATCATGGCTCTCCACAATTTCCTGTTCTGTGTCGGTTTAATAATTTTTTTTGTTAACTTTCCTAAACCTTGTTCCGCCATCTATTTACTCAAGAACACTTAATAGGTTATGTGTTGTTTTCCTCTTCCCTCCAATATGTCCTGTGACAGTTCCAAGCTGCCTCTCATTATTTTCCCTCGAAATTTCACAGTCTGATGTTAAGTATGTGTCATTTTTGCTTTCATTTTATCAAAAACTTCCTCGTTGCTCACATGTCCGGTCCATGGTATTCCCAGTATTCATCTATAGAACCATATTTCTGTTGCTTTAAGACTCTTCATCTATGAGGAGATTGTCCTGCATTCACTGCGATAGAGGAGGACTGATATTGCATAACAGTTTTCTAACGAATTTCTTCTGTTTCTTAATACTTTGCTTAGCTTTTGGAAAACACCTTTTCACTACCCCAATGTGCCTTCGGATTTCATTGTTACACTTTCCATCATCTGTTAAAACATTCCCCAGATATTTAAATTGTAAATGTTTAAGTTTGATATCTCCAACTTGTAATTTGAACTATATTCCTTTGCTAACAACCATGCATTTTATTTTGCAGTTGATATTTAGTCCTTTCTTCTCTCTTTTCTTTACTATCTTCTGTAGGAGTTGTTGTAGTTTCCTTTCCGTATCTGTTATCAGTCAGTAACATTTCTTATTTGGTTTCTAATTTCCAGCAACCCTGTTTATAACTACGATATTGGTATGTGTTAATTTTAAAGTAGTAAAAGTGATAATTAGTATCTCATAATAAATATGACAATAAAACGCCATAATAAAATTGATAATAATGTAGTCGTAATAAAAATGAGTTAAAATCAAATTAAACGATTATTTCTCGCTAATATTAATTTGATAGGTTTTTTGTTAGGAATGATCAAATTGGAAGACAAAGAGCCCAGAAATACACGGTCTTTAGTTCATCCGTTGGATTATATTACACAGTCTTTTTCCATTAAAGTTTATAAATTACCATTAACTTAATTAAACATAAATTTATATATTCAGTTGGCCCAAAAGTTCATTCGTTTATTAATTCGAAAATTTACTTAATAAACCGAACGAAAGTTTTGGCTAACCCAATAATTTAAAAAAAATAAATAGTAAATAAAATTTTAGAGTTTAGGCGGAGACGTTAGGAGGATAGAGTTAAAGTAGACTTTAGAAGTAAGCGGAAACCCAATCCTAAATAGGAAACAAGGGATAAACCTCTACACCTGCTCAAAAGACCAAGGAGAAGTGTGAACCGGACGATAGACGAACCTATTTACTTTTATAAAAAGCAGCTGCTTTTGAGTTTCTACCGATGCTCATATTGAGTGTGTGCTTGGGTAATGCATCCTTATTTTGTATGCCAGCTGTTCGGCAGCAGACAAGAGAACCTTCCAGAGGGTCACAGATGTTGGCCAGAAAATAATCGGCTGCTCGCTAATTATCGTTGTTGTAGAAAACATGAAAGACAACACGCATCCCAGGTACCACTGGTTTAAACAGATTCCCTCAGGGTGACGTTTTCGTTCTATTAAGTTCTAAGACAAAGCGCTTGAGGGACAGCTTTTATCCTAGAGCAGTGAGTAAAATAAACACTGCCACACACTGATAATTTTCAACGGAATAAGAAATTTACTCTCAGTATATAATGTCCTGTCACTGGATCTAACCAACGACTTTATCCACTGTGCCATGTGTCCTTGAGGGAAATTAACAGGAAATAACTGATAATTGACATCCATCAAACATGGCAGGTGGAACTAGAACAGTCTACCCCAGTGAGCGAAATAAAGGGTTCAGTTCGACATTCCAACCACCTGAAGAAGGCCGGAGCGTACAACGGCCGAAACGTTGTAATAAATATGGCGACAAAGATGAGGACAATAGTCTGAATAATGTAAATAATGTACATAATACCTCATCTCAGAAATATAGACATGTTTTTTACTTCAAAAATAGGGAATGGCACTATACACAGGTAATTATTTTGAATAGATTAAGAATCATACATATTTGGTGACCGTTTGCACCTATACAGGTAATTTTTAAATGTATATAATAATGTTCATCTCTAATAGGTTAACACCCACTGACCAACAGCAGTAAAGAACTGCTTCGTCAACACATCACAGCACATATTTAAACAACGACAATTTCTAGCAAAATAAAACAAAAATAACTTGTGTAATGTCTGTCAACTTTTTATTTTGAATGACTTGAATTATCATAAGCCGAACTATGTACTTCAATTCATGTGACACTCACTCTGCATTATATAACGGTAATCCTGACAAAACTTCAATACCACAGCGATGTAAAAATCTTGCAAAACGAAGATGACTGTTTATTGGAGGTAGGGAAAATCTATTAATTATTATATTTGTAAATTTTAAGTGGATGAGTAGCATACACAGTGGATGAGGTTTTGCTCTTCATATAGCGACAAAAGCGAAGAAAATTAGGCCATGTAGGAGGCAGGCCGAGGGTAAAGGAGCTACCATAGTCAGAAATGAACAAAAACAAAACTACGGTATCTAAATCTTCGTCTCAAATATTTAATGGTAAGTGGTTTTTCTCACCAATTTAGGGTAGCTTCGTACAAAAAAATAATGGCGACCATTTATTTGCTATAAAATATGTCCAGGATGATGCCCAGTATCGCAATGTTTGACTACGGTAGGCTGATTAGTATTGTTCAATAGCGGGGGTCACATTATGCATGAGCTATATGAAAAAAATCAGGTTTTCTCAAAAAAATCGCACTATACAGGAAATAGTTTTATACACAAGTGTATACGGTAAGCACTGTTTTTTTTTTTTTATTCGTAAATTGATGTTCTAAATATTTTTCAGATCAGGTGTGTACTGCTCACGCTCACAAGCAAGCATACACAGTGGATGAGGTTTTGCTCTTCATATAACGAATTATTGATTATTTCATCTTCTGACTTGGAATCTCGACAACGTGACGTGGTTTTCCTCTGTCTTTATAAATATTTTCATAGCAACTGCTCTGACAAGCTTTTTTTCCTCTGGACTACATGAATTTACGCGTGCTACTAGATTGACATCTAAATCCCAACCTTTTACAGTTGAAATAGTTAAATGCAACCTCCACTTCTACTCTAACCTTTTCTTTTCTCGCACTACCCGCCCGTGAACCTCCTTTCTGTTAATTTGCTTCCCTGATAACTACAATCTTCAAAAATGAAACGTTTATCGCCATCTTCTATCTTTTTGAATCTCCTTCATCTTTCGTCCTTTCCCCAATCGTCCCTATACTCAGTCTTTTCGCTCACTTTCACTCCCTGTAGCCACCTGCGTATTAGTGGCATTCCCGCCTTGCTTGGGGTATAATGATTAAAAATATTGCCAATGACCTACAAATTTAATGTCATTGCAAGTTTAAAAATACATTCAAAAGAAAGTCCCTGCAGGCGTTGTGGAATATCATGAATGAGGAATGATATATGGGAACGGATTTAATTCTTACCTTGATTATTTCATCTTCTGCTGCCCCGGCAATTCAGTCTTAAAGTTCAACTTCCGTTTCAGGCAATAACAAGTTTCCTGCCAAAGAGAAAATGTACAAATTGGACAGAGGCTAAAGAATAAAAGACAACTTCGTAAATATTTTACTTGTAGATTCTGAACAAATTACGGGTTTTAAAGATTCATGGAGCGTTGTGTTGGGTAGGGTTGGAATATTGATCTATGGCAGATAGACATTTGCGGATAGCATAAAAACATTGAACGCTATAAAATCAGTGGACTAGAAACCAATTAAGAAATAAATATATTTGAAAAATAAAAGAGGCAATGATTGGGAAAAAAGGATGTAAATGCAGAGGAAAAAAGGAGAGGATAAAAAAATGAATAAGATGAAAAAAAGAGATATACAATAAGAGCGTAAAAGGAGAGAAAATAAAAAGAGATGGAGAATAGAGAGAGAGAGAGAGAGAGAGAGAGAGAGAGAGAGAGAGAGAGAATAAAAGAGCAAACTGAATAAATAGAGAAAAAAAAGAGAATGAAGATAGAATAAAAATAAAAAATAAAAGAAGGAATAAAGGTGGGGGGGTAGAATAAAGAGAGAGAGAATCAAACAGAGAATAAAAGAAAATGTCAAATAAAAAGAAAGAGAGAAATAGAATAAGAAGAGAGGAAGAAGAGAACGTGTAGAGAGAAAAAAGAAGAAAAAATAAAAAGAGACAGACAGAGAGAATAAAATAAGTGGCAAATAAAAAGTGACATTAAAGAAAACGGAAGCAAAATGTAATAAAACTGTAAAGTAATTAATCAAACAAAAGCAATCAAAATTGAAAAATTGGGCTGGCTCTGGAAATGAAAACAAATCCAACTTGATAATCCAGAGGCTTGTTCCGTAGCTGAGATATGTCCATATTCCCCTTGATGATTCAGATATAGTGGCCTTCTTTTTTGAAAGAGAGTTCCATATTCAACTTGATCATCCAGAGGTAGTGTCCTGTGTCATGGTTGAAATTATTCCATAATAGATTAAAAGCTGCACTCCGTACACTATTTTAAGCTAGTTTCTGCGCAGGGCTAATTGGGCCTCAGGCCAAAGACTAAAGAAACCAGCGTACAAAACAGCAAGGATAATTTGGAAGAAATAATTCTGAATTCCCCAATTCACTCCATGGAATCTCAAAGCATCACTTTAACTCTCTTTCAGGCTACAAGTCCAATTCCAGACAAAGGGCCGATTTGGTCCGAAAGTTCGATTTGGTCCGAAAGTTCGATTTGGTCCGAAAATTCGATTTGGTCCAAAAATTCGATTTGGGCCGAAATTCCAATTCAGGCCGAAAGTTTGAGTTCTTCAAATCACAAACTCTGCAGAACTTCAAAACATCACATCACCTCCCACTTTTATTCTGATTCTTTGGCATTTTGAAGAAATAAAACTGATTTCCTCAATTCACAAAGTTTTGGGGGTATTTTAAACTGAATTTAAAAGAAAAAATTGTAAATTCACAAAGTTTTTGTGTTACTTTAAAGTAACACAAAAACTTTGTGAATTTATTAATTTTAATGTAAATTAAAAAAAACTTTCAAAATCACTAATATTTTCAATTATTTTAAAATTTGAAATTTTAACTGTTTCCTCCTCATCCAGACACAAATCCCAATGTTGGTTGTTCAGGCATGAGATGAAGGACAGATTTTTCATCCTGATTCCAAAAAGGGGTAATATATCTTTATATAGAGCAAGTGTTGCCTGAGTTAGAGGGATTTTAGGCACGTGGACTGACAGACAGAATTTGCTGTTTATTTATATAGATCGCTCTTGATGACCCAGAAGTCGTTACGATAGTTCAATATTCTCCTAATGTCGTCAATGTTTGATTTTCCGGAATAAATACATCATCAAGGGTTTGTATCTGGCGTTTGAAAAACACACCAGACAATCTTGTTGGTAGATTGGTTCAAAATGATTTTCCTTACCTTACTACTTTGTGTTTTGCCATACCATGGTAAGTTTTTAAATACAAAAAACAGATGGTAAAGAGGTTTAACATGCTTGTTTCGTTGGCCAATTTCCTACGTGCGATCGTCATTATGTCACCCTCTGTTTAGTAATTAAGTATTTGAACAACTATAATAGAGAACTGATTAGCAGGTTAGTTTTTAGTAGACCCTCATTAGGCACCATCATTTTATGAATAGCAAATAGTTAATGATCAAATATCAAGCCATTATAGTATGTTCTTTTACAATTTCGTTGTAAGCAGCGAGTCATACAGTTCTTCCTCCCCCTCCTCCTTCTACTACTACTGCTACCACTACTAGTAATTTTATTATTGTTATTATTAAACATACATATACATAATTATTTTCCTCCATTTTTACTAAACTGTAAAGTAATTGTCTAATGATTTTTTCCGCTAAGCCAATTCCGAAATTTGTTCCCGCAAAAAGTCGTTCTCTTAGGATTTGGGTGTGCCGGGCCAAAAAACTCATCTTCTCAAAGCTTAAATTAATTGTTCAATTACAGCCGAGGAAATGTTTAACTGATCACAAATCCTCGTCTAAATGAAAAAAAAATGTATCATTTGCAACTGAAAAGTTTCGAAAAATATCAAAAATGAACCTTGTCATTAGTTTATGAACATGATTCATGTTGCGATGATAGATTTGATATTTTCCGAACATTTTTTTTTCATATTCTTTGAACTTGACAGACAGAAGAGATCAGAATTAATCAGAGACGAGTAGCTTTTAGTAGTTTGTCATCAAAGACACTATGGAATTACTTCAACCACAAAATAAGATACTACCCCTGGATCATTAAATTGAATCTAGAAATCTCGTAGTCACAAAGTCGGTCACTATTTCTGAGTCATCAAAGGAAATATGAAAATCTATCAGCCACAAAGCAAAACTCTGGACATCGTATACAGCCAATCGTTCTGACTTGAAAATGTTGACAAAAACATCTTTGTCTTTCATTCATATTATTGATATATCATTCTATATGCTTAACAAAGCTTAAATGGCTAACTTTACCAAATAGAATATATTGACACAAATTCTTTCTCTTTGTGTTTATCAAAAATTAACCTGAAGTTTATCATTTCTAGAAATTATTAAAAATGAAAGTTTATCAAAACCTTTGTTTTACAGGTATTAAGTATATTTTTAATAGGAAATTTGACTTTGCAGCCATCATGTGGGACACATACCAAGAAGAAAGGATAAGAGATGCAATAAAAATTTCGTTAATTGATGGCAGCAGTAAAAGACCAGAGAGAAAATGGAGAGATAAAAAGGAGGCGTTTACTGGTAATAATAGCACAGTCAAGTTCCTCATGGAAAAATCTGTGAATACGTCTTATTTGGAGTGAACTCATAGATTATTATTATTGTGTGTGGTATCATCTTGACAGAGAGTAGTTTTAAGTACCTAATTACCAAATCTGGGAACGTTTCATTTAGATGAAGAGGGTTTTTCGGATGATATGTGCAGTTCCTTACAAAGTAATCTTTTGTAGCTCTGAGATGCAGATGTGTCCAGGAATTTTGGTCATCTAATTTTCGCTACCCAATTTTAAGTTTCCCCATTTTTGTTACATCGATTTTCAGGTTATTATTATTATTATTATTAGTAGTAGTAGTAGTAGTAGCGGTAGTAGTAGCATTAGTAGTAGTATCATCGTTTGTGTATGTTATGTTTCCTACTTTGTATCCTGTAGAGCCCGTTCCAAACTATGGTTCTTAGGCTGGAGAAGAGAATTGTCATGTAACTGATAGCATTTTTCTTAGTATATGGGATGTTCTTAGTTGGGCGATTTTCTGGGCAACCTGTATGCTGATGTTACCTGGGACACTGTTAGTAAAATTGTCCGCTATGTCTGGGTGAATAGCTTTGTTTGTTCTGTCTGTGTGTATTGTAAAGTCCCATAAAATTGTTACAAGTCCTATCTCTCTAAGTGATATTCGTACCAGTTTCTTGTAGTTTCCCTCCCGTAAAGATGTATATTTTCCAATACAGATATTAGACCCACTCTATCATGACGAGTTTTATATTCAGCCATGGTACACCTAGCATGCAACTTTATATTTGTACCATGCAACTTTATACAAGATGGCCAATTGTTTCTGGATATTTATCACAGAATCTGCATTTCGATTTAATAGAATTTTTCTGTATGTGTGCTTGGTAATTTCTAGTTAGCAAGCATTGGTCCTGTGCAGCAAGACTAAAACCTTCAGTTTCAGCTTTTAACTCTGTTCTACGTAACCGCTGATGGGTACCGGGTTTCTCTACATCAGCTTGTTTGGTACGGGCAGAATATTGACGGTGAAAAGGCTTATCTTGCCATCGTTTCTGCATTTGGTACGTTGCATTTGCTTTCTTTTTTAGGTTCTTTTCGGCTGCGGTACGTGTATTGCTGTTTATTTGCACTTCTTCGGCCACTAGAAAATTACCTTTTTTGAATTTGTCGGCTTCCTTTATTACTAAATAAAGTTTCTTATTTCTTTTATGTTCTTTGGCACAGATCATCATCCAGTCTTTTGTAGTTTCCAGCTATCTTTGAAGGCTGATCTTTGTGGTTTTGCAAGAAAGTTCTAGTTGAACTAATCCCCTGCCTTCTTCGGATCTTGATACATACAGACGATCAACATCAGCCTTAGGATGATGCAAGCGGTAGCAATTGATAAGCTTTCTTGTTTTGACATCTATTCGCTTAATGTTAGGTATGGTCCAATTAGGCATGTTGAAACTATATTGTACCACAGGGACAGCCAAAGTGTTTATAACTGATATCCTGTTTTGTGAAGTCAACCCGGTATTTAACACCAGACACACACACCTGTAGTATTCCTTTCTTATTTCTCCTTCATTCTGGCATGGTGCATCCTATTTTCGTTGACTTCTTGTTCCAGTTCCCTAATATTTGTGAGAAAATCCAAATCTATTGAGTGTGTTCCTGTAATTCTCCCTTTCTTGACTGTTACTTGAATCTTACTTTTATACATTTATCTAATCCGAAATCCATACTTATGTCGTCACGGAATCATTTTACTGTATTGTGGAGACCCTTCAAGTCATTGACTTATTTGGCAAAGAGTTTGATATCATCCATGTAGAATAGGTGATTAAACATTTTTCTTTTTTAATTTGTATCCATAATTATTACTCTTTAGTTCATGCGAAAGGAGGGGGTGTTAAGGACAGACAGAACCGAAGGGACGAAAGGGAGACTCTTTGAAAGATTCCTCGTTGAATATTCGAACAATTGGTAGTGGCAATACCTTTGGTGTGATTTAACTATAATGTGGGTTTTCCGCAGTTTCATGCTATATTTAAGGAAATTTACTATCACCGTAAGATTTTGTACATTTTCAATACCTTAAAGATCCAAGTGTATGGCACACTATCAAAGCCTTTACGTTAATCTATCCAAACTGTGCTGAGATTTCTACCTTTTTTCCTGCAATTTTTCAGAATAATTTTATTTATTGGTGGTTGATATTTGCA